ATCTTAAAGTGGCCAAGTTTGGACAACACTGATTTAAGGGTTCTTTTTTTAAAAAACTCTTCTTTTACTTCTCATTAATAAATGGGCTAGAAAGTACACAATTGCTAAACGGATTACAGGTAGTCCTTGCTATCCAACCACAACAGGAACCGGAATTTAGGTCGCTAAGCAATTTGGCTGTTAAGTCAATTGGAGTTGATTTTACAATTTTTTATGACGATCGTTAAGCAATCACATGGTCTTTAAATGAATCACATGGTCATTAAGCGAATCCAGCTTCCCCAATGGACGTTTTTGCCAGAATTCGCTTAACAATCACGCAATTTGCTTAACGATCACAGTGATTCGGTTAACAATCACCGTTAAAATGTCACAAATCATGATCACGTGACTACAGGGATCATAAAGCACTTTTCCCAAGGCCATTGTAACTCAGGACCATTGTTAAACGAACGGTCGTTAAGTGAGGACTACCTGTAATAAATGGCCAAATGACCATAGTCAGATGATCTCCCGTCATCTTGGAGGGAAGTACTGAATAGAGGACTACAGGCTTGATCCTGGGCCCTGGGTGCTCAAAATCTTTATTAATGACCTGAGCGAAAGGGTTGAAGGGATGCTAAGCAAGTTTCCAGATGACATCGAGCTGGGAGGGGTAGCTAATACTTTAGGGGAGGAGAGAGAGATTCAAAAAGATCTCAACAAGCTTGAGCAGTGGACTGACTGATATCAAGAAGGTGGAAGTGAACAGGGGCAAGTGTCTGATTCTGCATTTGGGTAAGAAAATGGAAGGCACAAATAAAGGAGTCGGGAGACCTGGCTTGGCAGTTGCACGTGTGAAAGGGGACAGGGTGTCCTCCTTGGCCACAAGTTAAACATGAGCCAGCAGTGTGATGCAGCTGCTAAAAAGGCGAATGCAATCTTGGAGAGAGAGTCCAGATCCAGCCAGTAAAAGTTCCACTCCATTTGCCTCTCCATCAGGCCCCACTTGAAATACTGAGTCTGATCTTGGGTGCCACAGTCTGAGAGGAGAAACTGAGGCAGGATGGCCAGGAAGATGGCGAGGGTCTGTAAAACAAGTGCTGCAAGGGGAGATCTATCGCACTGCTGCTCGTAGGATTGGGTTTGCAGACCCCTCACCTTCTTAGTAGCCTGAATGCTACCGAAACCGGTCTTCAGATATCTAAAGGGTTACCAGAAGGGGCCTGTTCTTTGTAACCCCTGAGGGCAGGATCAGAACCTGTGAGTTGAAACTACAAGGCAGAAGATCCAGATTAGCTCTTACAAGGAATTTCTTGAGGGTCACCCACTAGTAGAAAGATTAGCTCTTCTTTCCCTTCACCGGAGGCCTTTAAAGGCATGCTGGACAGTCATCTGCCCAACTTGCCTTAGCAGATCAGGCGCAGTTAAGGTAGGGTTGGACTGGATGACCCCCGAAGTCACTTCCAATTCTATGATTCTAACCAAGGGGCTCAACTGAGTCCCAGCTTAGAAACATAAAATGTCCAGGAACACTTACGGCATTCGGGGTGAGGAAGAGGGAGTCAGAAGCTGCTCAGACATGCATCTTACCCCCCCAAGCCCTATCATTTCTGGGGTCTTTACTTAAACAGAGAAAGAGTCTAAAATAAAACAGTCCATTCTGAATTTTGCAACTGGACATTCTGTAACGAGGGAAACTAAAGCACAGTTGAAAAACCAACCTACCGAGAGCAGAACGGGACGTGGCTAATTGCAATCCAAAGCGAATTTATTTGGCAGAAATATGATCCAGCATCTCTTCCTGCTGGCTCAGCTGCTTCTTCCCTGACAGCACTGTCTGACTTGACAGACAGCTGTCAATCATTCACCCAGCCTCTGCTGCCGGGCAATGGAGCCCCTGCAGGAAAGAATCCCCCCTCTCTTTCAAGGTCAGCCTAGAAGGAAGAGCAGACATGGCATCAGAAACAACCAACTTGGCATCTATTGGTTGTCTCTGGTGCCATTTATATGCCACAGGGCTATTGCCTATGAGACGGGGGGGGGGGGGGCAAGGGGGGGGGGGGGGGGGGTCACGGGACGTGGTGGCGAATTCAGGGTGACCCAGTTGCATCCACTGGTCCAGAAGAGCTGAAATTGGCTTGGGTAAGGTTTCAGTGGCCTTCAAGAGGCTGTTTCTCCACTTATCCATATTGGTCTTACCTTGAGTTTATCTAGGTAGGTCTGCTCCTGACTCCATGGGTCCTGGAACTTCACCATGTCAGGTGCCCCTTTGTAAAACTCCACCAGCAGCATCTAGAAGCAGGTTAGAAAATGGTCAGTGGACGCCAAGGACCCTTCGCATGGCCTGCTCTTGTTATGGGGCCTATATTGGGAGATACACCTTCAAGTCATTCTTGACTCCTGGCGACTGCCTGGACAAGTCCCTGCAGTTTTCTTGGCAAGATTTTTGGAAGCGGTTTGCTCTGGCCACCTTCTTCCCAGGGTTGAAAGAGAGGGACAGGCCCAAGGTCACCCAGCTGGCTTCGTGCCTAAGGGGGGACTAGAACTCACAGTCTCCCGGTTTCTAGCCTGGGACCTTCACCACTACACCAGACTGGCTCACATTGGAAGATACAACCTGGCAGCTTGAAGACGGGTGGACTTCAACTCCCAGAATTCGTCTTAAAAGTTGCCAAGTCTGAAAACACTGAAACTAGAATTAAACCTGCTATCCTGGAAGGAGCAGCTGTGAATCCTCTTGGGCCAGCAGTTCTCTTGTGAGGTATTACCACCTTTGTACATTTCATTTCAGGGACCCAGTCACATTTTTAAACCAGAACTATGACGCGCTTGGGTCATGGTGCAACCAAATGACCCTTCCGTAAGAGAATCCAGGATACCATTTCGTGGAGAACATCGTTCGTTAAAAATCCATCCTGGATGTAGGTGACTTCGACCTCCATGGGGATGCCATAATCATAAGGTCTTTGCTGGAGGGGGGGAGCAGGGAGGAAAGAAAGAAAGGCAAGAGCTTTGAGTCCTTGTCTCTTTGGATAAAACATCCCTGGCTTTTAGGGCTTGTGCATGCTCTGAAAATGACTTGGAAGGAGACTTGAACCCTGCACAAGCACAGCCCTTCCTTGTGATTTGTTAAAGCAACCCAACTTTTTTCAGGCTAGGGTGCAATCCCGAAGAAAAGATGCCACTCTTTCATTGAAATTAACTCTTAAAGCAGGGGCATCTTTTCCTGCTCACCAGTGGGAGAATGGTTGAGCTGCCCACCACCACACAACTCCACAAAGCAGATCAACTGTTAAGAGACAGTACAGCTTAACAACCATTTAACAACTGTTCAAAGTTATGTCAGCACTAAAAAAGTGACTTAAGATCATTCCTCACACTTACAACCATCACAGCATCCCCACGGTTGTGTGATCAAAATTCAGGTGCTTGGCAACCGGCATGTATTTACAATGGTTACAACATCCGGCGATCACGTGATCGCCATTTGCAACCTTCCCAGCCAGCTTCTGACAAGCAAGGTCAATGGGGGAAGCCAGATTCACTTAACAACCGCAACAAAACATGTCATAAAACTGGGTACAGTCACATGATGTTTTGCTTAACAACAGCCCCACTTAACGATGAATTTTACAGTCCCTATTATAGTCGTTAAGCGAGAACTACCTGTATCTCCTGAGCGATAAGGGAAGTTTTACTGGCGCAAAGCATTATCTGGCTGCTGGAAACTTCTATGTGATTCGAAGTTGCATCCACCTATGGAGGCACTTAGCTAACATTGATCCCCCATTGCATGCTCAGACCTGGTTAGGGATGCTAACATTTTAATCATCTGAGAATCAAGCAGCATTGCTTTAGGGCCCAGATCTGAGGCTGTTCCATGGCTCTTAACAGGGCAACTTGTTATAAGGCCCTTATTCTGACCCCTACAAAGCCAGGTTCATGCTTCGTTTTAAGGGCACGGGGGCAGAGCCTCCAATCTGGAAGCCATCTGCAAGGCCCTCTGCCATTCCAAAGCCCCTCTCAGCTCTTTCTGAGTCAGTTAAACATTAACACAGTGGTTTTAAAGTAGAAAAGGATGAATCAGCTTGCTGATCCACCCAGTTAAAATCCTTCCAGGCTGCCATCTGTTCACGCCAACCAGCCTCCGTGCGCAGCCCAAACTCGGTGGCAAGGGTAATCACACCTACCTCCGGAGGGGGCATCACCCAGAAGGGGGAGATCTTGGACTCTACACCTTGGTTGCCATGGTAGTAAGGACCTGGGAGGGCAAGAAAGAAGAGCGTTGATGAGCGCACTCACTCCGATGCCGCATTTTGGAAACGCACACAGCTCCCTCTTCATTCTGCACCGAGTAAGTCCGAGGAGACCCCCTCTTGGGCAACCTACCACAAATGAGCGCCAAGCAAGGCTGGAAGTTGTTGCTGGTTCCTTGCAGCTTCAGCTGGTAATCCATTTGCATGTCGATGTCTTGCAGGGAGGGGAGAGGGTGGCTAAACGGGTGGCTGTGATACCAACCCACCAGGGACAGCCCCCGCAGGAAGAGGTTTTGGCAGATCTGGAAAGGACAAGATTGTTCTCGGTAGCCAACGGATTTCCCTTCATTTGTCTTTAGGGCTCAGTCAGTCTCCATAAATTATTTCATTCCAAGGCTCTTGGTTGGCAAACAGTGCTCTCGAATAAGCTTCTTCTTATGGGGGACAGATAATACCTGCTCTGCTTTATAGCGGAGGTAAGCCCCCACGCCCCAGGCCTGAAATGGCCCTTGATCCTCCTTTTTTCTGCCTCCAAAGCTCCCCCCAGCTGCCAATTTCAATTTTCTGGCATTTCCCATTTCAGATAACCTAAACTTTGGCTGCATTCACACAATAGGTTTAACCCAGTTAGTAAATTAACCCATTTTCTGGCTTTGCACAAAACACTGACCTGTAAAGTATCCGAACCACTGAGATTGAATTAGATGTTAAGCCACAAAAAAATTAATCAGGTTTCCACCCTGAAGCCACCGTGTTTTAACCGACCAGATTAGTCATGTTGTATGAACACAGCCACGGTTAATTAAAAGAGACCCTGCAAAAGTCCAGCATGAATGGCACGACCCAATTTGCAATATTACCCCCTCTGTGACCTTCAACAGGCCACTCCAAACTCATTAAGTACACCACTGGAGACCAGGCATTTTCCCGTACATGCCTTAAATCATGGGGTAAGGTGCTGGACTACACCACCCATCATCCATGCAGCCTGGCCATGTTAGCTGGAGCTGCTGGGGAAGAGTCCAGCAACAATTTGTAGGGCAATCCCTTGACCAACTCAGTATAACTCCAGCCGTCACCTAACTCCGGATGTGTGGACTTCATCTCCCAGAATCCTCTACAGTGGCTAGGGAATTCTGGGAGCAAAAGACTCACCCTATAATCCACGCAAAGCATTTTCATTTCTTGAAAGGATACAAATGTGAATAGTGACTATTTCTGCAGCATTAAGTTGGTGTCAACCCTTTGCAACCACTTAGACAAATTATTAAAATATAGATTATTGTAAACAGTACGCTATTTCAAATTACACGTTATGAGGATGATCACTGGAGGCTGCTCCAGCAGCGCTTAAAAAGTGGAAGTGATCTTTCCAAGTGATCTTTCCAAGGAGCCAAGGTGATCTCCTCTCATTTCCACCCTTCACCTCACCTCTTCCTCCACAATAGCCGCCAACTCTCCATCTCCAAGTCGGGACCGGCAAGGGAACGCCCGCAGCACTGTCAGCACTGGAACAGAATCCAGCCAGGAGGTTACGGTTGTGGGTTCAACAAGGAATTTTCTCCCATTTTGTTAATTTGCAACATTATACATCAACCAGGGTCAAAAGATGGTGTAATGGTACGTGGGAAAGACCTTGGGAGACAGGGCAAAGAGACGCTGCCAAGGGAACGGTCAGATAAGAAACAGCACAGCCCATGGCTGGATAATGGGTGGGGCAAGAGGCTTAGAAGGGACCCTCCCTAGTTTCCTGGGCTGTAAAGGGGAAGGTGGGAGAAATGTACTTGCAAGATTCTGTCAATGTAGCTTTACAATAAAGTAGAATGAGCTCATCTGGTTGTGGTTCCTAACTGGTTTACCCCGTGAGGCGACATCAATCTTGCAAGTCTGAAAGTACAATTCTCCCCCCGTCTCTTTTACACCCAGAGAAATTAGGGAGGGTCTCTTCTGAGCCTCTTGCCCTTCCCACTATGCAGCTGCAGGCTAAGCTCCCTCTTATCTGACCATTCCCTTGGCAGCGTCTCTTCGCCCCGTCTCCCAAGGTCTTTCCCACATGCCATTCACACGGTATGTGTAGGATTATGATGGATATTCTATGTCACTGTCTAAGCTGCTTCTCATAACTTGTCATAGCATGTTCTCAACATGTGCTCCTCTATACGGTATTCTGTGCTGGGATATCAGGAAGGAACGTACAGCTCCATGACTTTTGAGGTTCCCAGGAAGAAATGATTTAGAAACGATTTATGTGATTTGCAGTTGCAGATGTAATTTGTAATTTGCAATTGCAGATGTGAACCCAGATATAAATAAAATGGTTTTTTTTATACTGCTGTTAAGACAAGAGCCTAGTCATTGCTGGTGTAACTGCACTGACTGCATTACGCTAATTTTATTTATTTTAAGGACAATACTCTGGTCATGGGGTTTATTGTATTTACTGATTGGCCAAAGGCCATAACAAAAATTCATTCATTCATTCAAGAAATGCCTTTAAACCAAAAAGCTGTATTTTGTGGCTGGCTGAACAGTCCACTCTTTTCTTATAAATGTCAAAAACTGAATCTGGACTATGTCCGTGCCAAAGAGAATCAAAGTGTTGGAATGACCTCAAAGGTTCCCCAGTCCAGCTTCTGGCTGGGTGCAGGATCTGCTTCCGATCACTTGAGCGACCATATGTTTTTGTAGGGCTCCTCTGCCCTCCTTTAGTAATATTTCTTTATCTATCTTTAACTTGGGGGGGGGGAGCAATATTCAGAATGTAGAAATTTGCTTTCTGCAAGTCGGTGCTCCTCCAGTGTGGAATAATGGAAAGGATGTTGAACTGGCACTGGGAGGACTCAGATCTTGGTCCCCCTCTCAACCGTGGAAGCACCCTGGGGGACTCTGGGCCAGCCCCAAGGCCAGGGGGGTCCAAGGGTGAAGATGCTGGTCTAGGAGTGGGGAACCCTGACTTCTAGCCCCCCCCCACTCCGCCACGGGAGCTCCTTGGGGTACTCACACCAACCAAACCTGTAGGATTGTGGTGGTGGGGTGGTAGGAAAAACAGAAGGACAGAACACTACAGATGCCATCTTGGACTAGTGGAGAAAAGATGGGATATAAATATAACAAACAAATAAAACCCTGCGTATTTTAGAGATATTTCTGAAGGTGTTACCAGGGCTGGGTTCATACAACTCATTGGATTATTTCGTGTCTGTGTGCGTCGCTCAAACTCTGGCTTGACTTAACTTGGTTTGGTTCAACAAGGCAAACGGCGATGTTTGAGTTCACACAACATCCTACACCAAAACCGAACAAACTATACGTTAGCTTAGTACAGTGTGTGAACCCAGCCAAAATATGTTTTCATGAAAGCATCTTATGGGCTTAAAAGGGATCTACAAAAGAACTGGGTTTGTAGCCAAGGGTTTGCACAAAACGAACACATATTTTGCTTTGAGTGTTGAACAAATCATTCCTGTTTGAAGTATTCTGTCTGGCCAAAGGAAACAATAGGAATTAAAAGCAACTTCCTTATTTTTCCCTTAGGGCTGCAAGGTTAGTTGGCACAGCAGACCATTCTGACTAAAACGTGCCATCCAAGTTGCATAAAATTGACCAAAGGCATGAGTTTTCAAAACAGTTTTAAAAATCTCCATAGGAAACAGTGCAAACATTTCTAGCCTCTTTCGCTGAAAAATAAAGTTGTTTAATTTGTTACTTCCATAGAGAAGTCTTTCTGGTTCTTTGAATAAACCCTGAGATTCAGCCCAACAGAGGAAAGGCACAAAGGAACCAATCTCAGTTAATGTTTTAATTCTCATCTCGGTCTGCAAATGCATTTCCATTGTTTTTAAATGGATTTCTAAATTATTTTTTAAAATATCATCTCCTTGACCAATTTTTCTAAAGTTGTGTGGCAGATAGCAGTCAGCATGGATTACTTAGCAAGTTCAAGTATCAGGTTTGGTTTTTTTTGTTTTTTTTGTTAATTTTGCAGCCCCTCAATCAGGCGCAGCTCAGGCAGGGTTGGCGGGGGGGGGGGGGACGAGTAATGTTGCTGCCACTTCCTCACTATCTGGAAAATACGAAGGATGTCTAGTATTTAACAGCAAATCAAAACCCACTAGTATTCATTTTAACAGGCCTACAAACAATAGCAGTTCTACAAAATTATCAAAAGAGGTCAGAGTCAATGCTAAAGAAATCAAAACAGAACAACCTGGGTAGAACGGTTGCGCAAAGACACACTCTAATTCAAAAGAGCCCAAATCGGCAAAAATCATTTTCAATTTTAAATGAGCCCTGCATCAACAGGGCAGAAGAACAGGCCAACTGCACACACTCAAATGTTCACATCAAAGCCCTTGCCCACATCACCCTTCTTCCTCTAGCTCTTGAATTCAAGTGGGCTAGGATCTTAAAATGGACAAGACCAGGATTTGCTCTAAGTTTACTCCTTGTGATAGCTTAAAGCAGGGAAAATCAAACCAAACCACCTTAGGGGCTTCAAATATAAATCACAGAATCATAAAATCATGGAGTTGGAAGAAGTCTTAAGGGCCATCTAGTCCAACCCGTTCTTCAGTGCAGCATCCACTACAGCTTCACTGGTGGATGACCAGCCTCTGTTTGAAGACCTCCAGGCTTACATCTCTCTTCAAGATTTGGGTGAAAAAAAACGAGGAAAAAAAGGTCGTTTCTTTGGCTCCCAAGCAGAGGGGCGAATTATGGAGGAGGGAAAAGACCATTCCACCAAATTCCCAAGCATCCAACCTTTTCGCTCACCTCGAGATAACCCAACGGGACTTACGTTGGCTGTTGATGTTCCACTGGCCTCCCAAATAACCAATCACTTCACTTTTGGTTAAGTGACTGTGGAAATCCTAAGAGAGAAGGTGACAAAGGAAGTCTGTGAGTGTGACAAAAGCTCAGGAGCCAGCGTTTAATCCCAAGGAGGGTTGCCTTTCTTGACACCTGATCGTTGTCAAAATAGGACTAGCGGTGTCCAGAGACCAGCTCCAAATTTAAGCAGGCAGCTTAGGGTCAGCCCCACCGTAGGTGGAAGGAACCACAAGTAAACCACAGCTCCCTCCTAAATGTAAAGATGCCGCATCTCAGCGATTCTTGGAAGTCTGCAAAGCAGCGTCTCATCACATCAACCCTTAACATTTCTTTGCTTTTTTAGTGTCCTTATTTATTTATTTATTTGTTTGTTTTATTTTATTTTATTTTATTTATTACATTTTTCAACCGCCCATCTCCTCCCAATGGGGGAACTCTGGGCGATTCACAACG